CTCTCTCTCTCTCTCTCTCTCTCTCTCTCTCTCTCTCTCTCTCTCTCTCTCTCTCTCTCTATCTATCTATCTATCTATCTATCTATCTATCTACCCAAATGTATACAGATATAGACATACCTGTAGATGTATATTGCAGTGACCTTGCGAGCGGGCAATCTCGTAAACCACCGATTTTTCATTCTCCACACCTCATGTTGATCTTGTTGTATGTCGAAAGACACTTGCCAGCCAAATTTCTCATGACGACCACTGAATCACTGATGGTTGTGGACATGTGTGTGCCTGCCTCGGATGCGCACCCGCCCCGTGCCTCACAGTCACCAGTTTCCTTGTCGGTGTGACGGATTACAAGATCCCATTTGCCACGTCAGCAACGAACCAGAGCACGGTTACAACTACCGCACCATAAATGGATTGCAACGAAACAGCTCGGTTCCACCGTGGACTGGATGGATCTCGCTGATGCTCTGCTTGGATGCACCATCACAAACACCCTCATATCTAAGGTCGATGCAAAGACGTGCTGCTACTCTGCTTGAACCTAACATCATCATAGATACCTTCATATCTAAGGTTGATGACCAATTCTACTTCAAGTATTCGAAGAGCTGCTGCTACCTGAATGACATCCAAAAGTCCACATCGGGGAGAAGAAAAAAAAAAAAGCAGCTAATACCTTTCTCGGCCTTTTGGCTAAGATCAAGTGCAGCATCTGTTCTGATCAGTTTGATAAGAAAAAAAAAAAAAAAAAAAAAGCAGCTAAAAAACAGTTAATGCACCATGAGCACAGTCCATCCACCCATCAATCCGTTCATACACGTGTCACACAGACCACTCATCCTCTTGATGAACAGCAGAGCTGGCAAGAGCAAGAATGTAAGTGCCAATGGACTAAATACAGCCTGTGATGACCAACCCAGTGCCCACGACACACCCACCGCGGATTTCCCTCCATCCCTGAGTGGATCGCAAGCCAATCTCTGAAAGTTTAAAGGCTAATTCTAAAGGAGAAAGTGGAATTATGGTGAGAAAGGAAGACATGAAACTGCTACCCTCCGGCTATATTGCTTCTTCTTATTCATCGCTTCCACTCGATTCGGGTGTGTAAATGCCACAGGGTATCCTCATGCTGACTGATACATGGATGTCGACAGAAGGGAAAAGGACCTTAAGCATGTTGAACATACGATGGTAATCTACAGTGCCACCACTCTCAACAATATCCAGCCCAATTCTCGTCAAATTGGTGCTGGATTTCAAAAAGGCACTGACGACTCCAACTAATTCCCTAGCCCACATATCTTCCTCCTTCCTCAGCTTCTCCTCACTGCAGTTCCCAGTCTCACATCCCTTACAGTTGGAATCGTGTCCACACAGTGTGAAATCAATCCTGTCCAAATTAGGACAATTGTAAAAGATGTTTGTCCATACATCATTCGATGCGCCCTCAATGTGAGCTTCTGCCATCGTGGAGGGATACAAGGTAGATGTGCGCACGCATCGCTCTGTATGTTTCGCAAGCAAACGCACGAACCCTAAGCCTAGCCTGAGCGACTTCAGTTTTCGAAGCCCCAAAGGCGTTGGAAAACGTGGAGAACCATCTTCTGGGAATCTAGTGATGGTGGCGGGAGCTGAAGAAGCGGCATGAGGAGCTTTCATACTCCTACTCGAAGAGGGATCAGTAATGGCGGCCTCAGACTCTGAGCGGAGGGAGATGGGAGAGAAAGATGACACAGTGGAGGAGAGAGGAGGAGGAGAAGAAGCAGGAGGCTTGTGCTCGGTTGCAATTCGATCGGTGTTGTAGAAACAATAGTCAGCAGCACATTCCTTGATTTTGTACCTGCTGGTTGAGGGTCCATCTTGACCGCGGCGTTCCTTTCCTTCTCGGATAAGATGTACCTCTTCCATAGAGAGCGGTGAGTCGGTAGGGTAGATCTCACTGATATCCAAATCTAACTCTTCAAGACTGTGCAAGTGGTGTGCCAGAATTTGGCAGAGGGCGCCCTCAAAGACTATACGATCCTCTAGGCGAAGAGATACAAGATTGTCCAATGGTACTGAAGCGAACAAATTATGGTATGTCCACAAGCACCTCGCATGGTAATGACACAGAGAAACTGTTCCAGGCAGCGCACATTGACCAGGCCAGAGGAGAAGTACCTTCAACTTTGGGCAGAGCAGAAGTACCTTCAACTTTGGGCAGAGGACCTGCAAGAGCGGAATCATGGATGCACCCTCCGCAGACGTGTCTAGCACAAGGTTAGTCAAATCGGCACAAATGATCGTCAGAGGCAAAATAAAATCTTTATGCTGATCAATAACCTCAAGACACTGCAGTGAGGGGTAGGGAATAGATGTGAAATGCCTCTTCCCGCCGTTGATTTTCAGAGTGTGCAGGGAAGGAACAACTTCGATAAGGGCATCTAGCTCTGCTTGCTCAAATTCAATGTCCTCATGTACGTCGATCATCAGACAATGCAGAGGGTGTGATTCTTTCCCAATTGGCATTGATCGAATTCTTCCTCGATCACTCTTGTCCAACGACATTGCCTCCAGCACTTCCTTCCCCTTCATCTCTCCTTGTACTTCCTCTCTTTTTGCTTCTTCTCCTGATCTTCCCTTCTCCCTCATCTCCTCCTGTTCCTTCTCTTCCTCCCCCAATTTCTCCATCAACTCCTCCTTTGCCCCCTGGTCCTCCTCCTCCTCAACCTCCTTGGCAGCACCACTTCCCCCTCCCAGAAACCTTCTCACACCAACCCTATCAACGAAAGACTTCGGTGTCTCAGATGGTCTGCACGCCTGGAGACTTAGAGTCACCAATCGAGGACATGCATGGAGGAGCCGGTGAAGTACTTTGGCAAGAATTTGGAAAGATGCAGGTATTGGAAGGCAAGCAGAAAGTGTTGTCAGATTCAGGAACAAGTCCGAAAAGTCTGCATGCCCTCGGCCCGAAGAGGGAACGCACAGCCCAAAATAAGTGTTTCCAGTGACAGCGGAGTTCCTTGGTGTGAACGGGAGCTTCCCCCTTTCTCACTTCCTCCCACAACGTCCTCTCTTTGGCCCTTTTGTCCTCCTTGAGGATCATTCGCAACTACCGGCGAGCACCATGGGTGCTGCTGCTCAACCTCCCAGATGGCGAATCCATCGGTGGTGTCGAAGCGCAGACCGTGCAGAGTTCTGAAAGAAAGCAAGAAGCAGCATACGGTGGTGCGGCTTGTGGTCATCCTGCAGTCGGGGCAATGACCTTCCACACATGTGAGAGAAAGGTGAGTAAGGGAGGGGAGGCGACTGCACATTTCGAGGTATCTTTCTGCATGATCACATAGGTACATCTTGAAGACTGACAAGGAAAGCCGTCTTAGAGAAACAGAAGCGATGGGTAGAGATAATAACGTGCTGCACTCTTTCAGTGAGCTACCACAGTAACTATTCACCTTCAGACTCAGCAATTGTCCGCACCTATCGAAGATCTCCTGGATCTCACGCTCGTCGCCCCCAAATCCTTCAAGATAGAGGATTTTCAAAGTGGGACGAAGTAGACTTATCCAAAGATGTTGCCTCGTATCGCCAGAGAATTCCTCGATTGGGAAGCAGGGGACAGAGAGCGACTGCAAGAACTTCGAGCGCTGCACCACATCGCCAACCCAATTAGCCTTCACATCACCGATCAGATCGTTGGACCACATTGTGTCGGGAAACTCCAACGCCAACACATTGAGGACGAGTGACACAAATCTTTTCGAAAGCAGACTCATTCTCAGCAATTCCAGGGCGTCGCGCCCTCCGACCTCGCTTAGGATCTTCAACACCAACCCGTCAGCAGAAGAGTCTAGAGAGTCCCAGTCCAGTCCAGCAAGTACCACAGGGGGACTGTGAGCACCAAGGGCCGATGGCAAAGGGCAGACCAACGAGTTTCTGAAGTATAAATCAAGAGGCAGCGCC